CATTAAAGTGACTATTTCTCTATGTAACTGAAAAACTCTAGATCCATTCACTTTATCAAACCTTTCTTTCAAATCTTTCCATACCAGATGTGCACTAGATACATAAACAATGCCACTTAGGAGTTCTTTAGTAATGGAATCCATGATCCAGGAGAGAACTATAGCATTACATCTATCCCATTGATTGTGCATGCTAACTGGAAAGCTATAATTTGTAAAAGTTCCATCAATAAATCCAATCTTATTTTTAGCTAACAATGCAATTCTCATAGATCTACTCCATAATGAGTAATTATCAACACCACTTAATTGAAAAGAGACGAGAACATCACCCGGAGTATCAGAAGGATGTAGATAAAGTTGATGATTGAAATCTATTGATGAACTCGATTGATCATTTCCATTATTTGCAGAAGACTGCATCTCTCCGTCTGCACTGGCGGCTGCCATTTTGGAAGAACTTGATCAAAGAAAATGAGATTAGATAATAAACGAAATCTAGAGGAGGGTTGACGGAGCTGATGGAACAGATCCAGAAGAAAAGAAGCTGACGAAACTGATGAATCAGTAAAACCGTGAATTACTGATGAACAGAGTGAAGTTCTCTGTAAATTTTAGAATATTCAAACCTTGGAATTTGCTCTGATACCATGTTAATTTGGGGGCAAGAAACTTGAAACTGAAGAAAACTCTTTTATTCAGTATATCGAATTCAGTTACATTGTTACTTATATACAGAGAAATAATATATAACTGTTAACTAACTTCATCTAACTACCTTAACAAACTTACAGCTCAGCATAACTAATTCCTAACTAACTAAGTTTCTTCCAACTTGAATCTTAACACCATGATTGTTGCTAATTTAAGATGAAAACCAATAAAACCCTGTTTACTTGGTTTAAAGCGAGTATGTGAAACAGAACACCAGTTTCTGAAGAATCATAAGAGCTACTGAAGGAAAAAGGAAGCTTGAATTACTCTTTAGCAAATATTCAGGGAGATGCAAACATACAAGCTGTTAAACTTCGAACTCCTAAAAAGGAATTAGAAAGCACGAAATGAAGAAGAATAAAGATTGTCAGGAATTTATTTGTACTTGTCAAATTGCATCTAAACAAAGGATAATCTTTGATTTCCCTGTGACAGAAGTTTGAAGTTCCTGTTGAAGCTTGAATCAGAGACAACCATCTAAGAGGCATCTGAAAGTTTTTGGTTTTATATGCAACGCTCAATACGGAACGAGAAAATTTTGAGCTAGATGAGACTGGTGACAAGGGCTAATTCCAAATATGGTTCAAGATCTATTGGCCACAGTAGTTTAAGAAAAAAAAAATCAATAAAGACAGTCACAACTCATGATGTGTAATTACTCCACGAAAAAGCTAAATGAAATAAGAAGGAAGACAAAGTTGAAAAGAAATTTGTTCGCATAAAGGAAGAGCAACAGTAATCATGACTTGAAAGATACTGCCAAACTTGAGGGTGCTAGAACCTATGAAACGGGTACAGAAGAAAGTACTTAAACCCGAGTCTAGGTGTATCCTTACTAGAGTAGGCCCGTATCAATTTTTTAATTTTTTGTTCCCATTATAAAATGAAAAAGAAAAATTATTAGACCTAGGAGGACCTGCCTGCATTTGCAGTGGATCTGAGATGAGAGAGACAAAAAAAAGGTTGTTGGTTGGGGGTGGGTACTTCAGTCCAAGGAAAGCTCAATTTTTTTTTTCTTTTTCATGAATCCAGGTTTGAGTTTGAGCAAACCTGATTCAGGCTCCATTGTCACCTTAAAACCCTTATAAATTTAGAATTTAGGTGAAAACTCTATTTAAGTCATTAAAAACCAAAATAAAAAATTCTACANTAGGAGTTCTTTAGTAACGGAATTCATGATCCAGGAGAGAACTATAGCATTACATCTATCCCATTGATTGTGCATGCTAACTGGAAAGCTATTCTTTGTGCAAGTTCCATCAATAAATCCAATCTTATTTTTAGCTAACAATGCAATTCTCATAGATCTACTCCATAATGAGTAATTATCAACACCACTTAATTGAAAAGAGACGAGAAAAGCACCTGGAGTATCAGAAGGATGTAGATAAAGCTGATGACTGAAATCAATTGATGAACTCGATTGATCATTTCCATTATTTGCAGAAGACTGCATCTCTCCGTCTGTACTGGCAGTTACCATTTTGGAAGAATGAAGATGATAGCTTCTTGATCAAAGAAAATGAGATCAGATAATAAACAAAATCCAGAGGAGAGGTTGACGGAGCTTATGGAACAGATCCAAAAGAAAAGAAGCTGACGAAACTGATGAATCAGTAAAACCGTGAATTACTGATGAACAGAGTGAAGTTCTCTGTAAATTTTAGAATATTCAAACCCTGGAATTTGCTCTGATACCATGTTAATTTGGGGGCAAGAAACGTGAAATTGAAGAAAATTCTCTTATTCAGTATATTGAATTCAGTTACATTGTTGCTTATATACAGAGAAATAATACATAACTGTTAACTAACTTCATCGAACTATCTTAACAAACTTACAGCTCAGCATAACTAATTCCTAACTAACTAAGTTTCTTCCAATTTGAATCTTAACACTATCAATTACAAAAAGTTATTCCTCTATAATTTCTTAGAGAAAAAAAAAATCACAAAGATTGATATAGTTATATTGCTCCTATCACCTCCCGTATGGATTATGCAAGGATTTTAAGGATCCCTCAAAGAGATCTAACAAGTAATTCTGTAGATCTTCAGGAGTGTATTTCAGGTGTCTGAGACTATCTGATACATGTGTCTGAGACGATACATGTGTCTACCCAAAAAACAGCGGTAAGCATGAACCACTTTTTGGGATATTGAAATTCGTAAATCTTCTCGAAGCTGAGCATTTGGGATGAGCCATGTTGTTTGGGTTTTGTAAACCTTATCAAATGCAAGATTAAAGTTCCTGAACTGCTCATTGAGTTGGGTTCTCGAAGCACCTCCACAACTAGAATTCCCCTCCTCCGTCAATAAAGCGAGGATTGAGCTCCAAGTAGCTCTTTCATAGCCCATTGCATGCTGTTGAAATTTCCAGTTGTGCTTTCGAATCCAGCTATCACCAAAAATGGGCCTAAGTTCTGAATTCTTAACCTTTTGAGCCATATAATGTATATTGTTCATCAAAAAGAAGTGCTGCAATGAAATATCCTTGTATAGACTTGATTTATCATGAAGTTTGGATTCTAGAACTGAAGCAACTGATCGATATCGGNTCTTATTAATCATAAATCGAGTTTAGAAGGGCGGGATAAAACCCGTTGGGATTGTCTCACTGTATGTTTTTTGGAATCCATCTTACGGCTCGTTGGCTTACTCTCCGGTTCCGAATTATACTGTTTTTGTCTAGCCAGTGCACTCGGTTCATCTTCACCCTCTGGATCTGAAAGTGTCCCGTGACTATCCTCCCTTCCTACAACCTCCTTTCTATTTTCGCTCCTCGTCCTATCTTCCACTGCTCGATCCTCGGCAATCAGATCAGAGTTGCCCCCCTCAAACGCACCTTGGTGTGGGTCATCTGTCTGAACCAGCAAACTCACCATTGTACTACCTGCATTAAACTTCTCCTCCCTCCGTTCCCCCTCTTTGCCCTGCACAGGATCTGACTCTTCGCTAATCACTGGTTCCGCACTAGCTGCATCCACCAGTGCGACCTCTGCGGCAGAGTTGTTTTGTGCCACAGCCCCATATTCTGAGACCTGTGACGTATGCATGTCCTTCCGAGACTTCTCTGCAATACCATCTCCAGCCAAAGACGAAAAACGGTCACTCCCTGGGACCTCGTTCTGTTTCCCTGTGTCAGACCGCACTAGTATTCCTTTCTTTAATCTCTCCACAACACGCTCTGTCTCCCCATTTTTCTCACTTGTTCTCCATTCCTCACTGGCTTTTTCTTTCCAAACTTGCTGGTACTGGATCAATGGTCTGTTATTTTTTTCCTCCCCTGCCTTCCGTCCAGCCTCCCCTATCCGACAAACCACTTTTGTATGCCCCTGTCTACAGCACTTGGTGCAATAAAAACCTGGTTTTTCATACCTGACTTCTTGCCAAATAGTTCTATTTGCTGACACGGAAATAGGGAACCCTTTGATAGTCTCCTCTTTGAGATTCATTTCCACACACAACCTTGCTCCCGTCGCTCTCGTTTTGTTCAACGTAGCATTATCAGTTCCAAGGAAACGGCCAAACCGAGTTGCTAGAATTTGGAGACAATCCCTTCTGTACAGATGCATCGGCAAACCTGGTAAGAATATCCATTGAGGAGCCAAAGGAGATTCCTTCTCCAGGTCAAAGTCTCTAGTCCATTTGAATAGCCAAAATGGGTTCCCCTCCACAGATCTTCCTTCCCGTGTCCAACCGTGTATAAAATCACGTTCATTTTTCATGTGAATTAAAATATGGTAGTCATCCATGAAACTAATCTGTGGGATCTCTATCAGACCCCAGTTTTTCACCACATGCAGACGTAAATTGTCAATGGAAGGCCTCACTCTCATGAATTTCATCACCAAGGCAAACTTCAAATCTTCCGCAGCCTTCACCATCTCTGAATCCGAAAACACAAAGCCCAACTCTCCATCAATATCCACCGGAAATCGCATTGGTAACTTGAATGATGAGTTTTCTGCATGTTTAGAAACCTTGTCTGTACGTTGAGAAACCGCCTGAGCATAAGAAAAATTCATAGGCTCACTAAAACCACCGTTCCCCGCCGACGGCAAGGCCATCAGAGGGGCTGCGCTTGCCTTGAAAAGGCAACCCTAGAAGTGTACGCACCCAGACTAGGAAATCCGAGATTCTCGGACTTACCTTAACCAGCGAAATATTTTTTCCAAAACAGAGAGTTTTTTAGTTGTGATAGCACTTCGTCCTCATGGCCGTTGCTCTTATTTTTATTTGCTCTCCCCAATTTCCTTGTTTACATACAAAGAGATGTGCAAGGCAATGGCGAAGCCATCACCTACGGCACGTGCTTGCGCTGCAATAGCATCTCGTGGAGTCGCCGTCGCAGTAGGTCGCAGAGCCACAATAGTTGACGGCATCTAGGCTAGCAGCGCGACGACACCGTGAGCTGCTAATTTCTTTCTTGTTTCCCAAAATAATTATTTATTTGTTTATGGATATTGAAAGGTTTATTGAGTTTAGCTATCAACCATACATGATGTTCTTATTATTTCCAGTCTACAAGTAGCCGGATCACTTAAATTTTCCATCCAAGATGTAGGGATATTATAATAGAAGAAAGTCTCGATAGTGGATTTGGTTGCGTATATGTGATAAGCATTTTGCTTGTACAAATGCAATTTCTTGACTGAATTTACTTATTTCGGTCTCCTCATTCATTAAATATTACACTTTGATTTTTAAACAATTAATCAAAATGAATAAATGCATATCTTCCACATCTCATTCAATATATATAATTCCTTGGTGTTTTCTTTGCATTGTGCTGCAGACTTTTTTCTTTTTTGTAACTTGATAGATTTATTCTTGCTTTTATGCTTTATTGAACAGATTAATTTTCATTTTTCTTCGCTATTTCAATTTCTTTATTCACTTATCTTTGCTAATTTAATTGCTTTATGCTTCTTTTTTCTCTTTCTTGAAGTCCTCCATTTTCTCCATCCTTATGCTGAAGAAATACACCTTCTATCAAAGTCTTATACTTATATTTTTAACATAATTCAAGGATAATTCTAACATTAAAATGAAAATAATTAAAACAAATAGTCAATGTCGAACTCAAAATGGACCCTAATATCTAAACTTTACATTGGATGTACAGGTTTAATTTATGAATGAGGAAAAAAAATGGGAAACTTTGTCATCTTCACTAAAGAATTATAATAATAATTTCCCACCAGTAAAAGAGACAATGAACAAGTTAAAAAAATAACCCAAAAAATATAGGTTTTCCAAGGATGACCCTTCATCCATCTTAATTTTTTATACCCTTTTTCTATAACTACCTCCACTTTAATTTTACAATACCATCACTTTACATATTAATTTCTCTTCAAACTTGTCTCCTTAATATTCCCCCCATAGTTAATAATTTGTTGATGTTTTATCTCTTACCTCCCCTGAGGTTTCAATTTAAAGAATAGCATCAGGTGTCTTTGATAGAGTGTAATTGCATAACAATTTAAAAAAGAAGGCTGATATCCAATCGCTATATATGATGGAGCTGAATTAATGGTTTTAAAGAATACCCTTAACTTTCTTTTTCGAACTAAGCATGTTTAGTTTCATCAGAAGTCTTAAGAGTCATGTTAGTGTTCAGTTTAATTATTGTTTAATATTAGGATTCCTAGTTTAACTCATATATAAAGGAGTGTGTTTGTCAGCTTATATATGAGAAGAAAAACATTTCTTCCTCCCTTTTGTGTTGTTTTAGCTTGATTGCGTTGGTACTATATTATGATTTATCAAAAATTTCTTATAGTTTTCTCTTTTCCTACTTTTTCAGTACTATAGGTTTAGAGAAAAATATTACGAACTGAGGTTTCTGGGAAAATGATTTCTGTTCAAATGTAAGAGAAGAGATATAATAGCTTATATAGTTTTAGAAGAAGAGAGGAAACGAAACCTACTAACTGAAGCTGTAACTAATAAACAGAAAGACTTAACAGCAAACTAACAATTTGAATTTGGAAACAAGCTAACTGTTGACTTTGTTGTCTCCTAGTTTTAGCTTATAACTCTAAGATCCTCCCTTGAGCTAAAACTTGTGATAAGTCTCAACATCCTCCCTTAAATCAGACCTGTTGTCTTGAACCGGTTCAGTAAACGTCAAGACAAATGAGTGGCCCTCACTAATGCTGACTTGTGTTTAATATCTTCATTTCTTAGCTTTATAATAAATATGATTGTCGAAGTGATCATCCTTCACTTCCAGATTCAAAGCAGGCAAGACTGAACTTCTCAGGTATGCAAGAGCTTGAGATGCTAATACAAATACTCAATTCAATTGTACATAATAAAGAAATTGAGTGTTGTGAATTTTTATACAAATTGAACAATAGTTGGATGTAAAACATTTTCCTTTCTTTATTTTAACTTTTATTTTTCAGTTCATTGATGCGTAATTTGCAAATTTGTGATGGTATCTCAGATTCTGGAATTGATGGACCCTTACCACATTGACAACAAATTGTGCATATTTAATTTCAGAAAATTGCAATGGAAAAGTCAAGGGAAAACAGAGGATAAAAAGGAGACAAACTGAAAAGGAGAACCCCAGGAAATTGGTATGTAACACAAGCATTATTCTGTAGAAACTTAGTGTAGTTTTGGGATTGTTGCAGCTTTAACTTTAGTCACTTCATTCTTAAAACTTGTTTGGTAAACTACTTTTGGAAGTAATTATAATTCAGTGCTATTCTAAAATGATCAGTTTCATAAATGATTTCAAAAGCTACCAACAACTAGTTTGGGATTGTTGTAACTTTAAGTTTAATCAATTAAAATCAACTTTGGAAATTATCAGCTTTGGAAAGCTTCGTGGCCAAATGGCATGTCGGAATCCAGTGGAACCACGAAATCTGACAGATCAACGTCCTCTGGTTCAGATAGGATAGGCGGTGGCTCCATCACACCTTGCCAGAGGTGGCCAGATTCCTTATTGCATAAATAATATTGTATTGTAATTTATATTAAAATTATATTATATTAAAAATTAGTTAATTAAATCAATTAATTATAAATTTGTATAAGGAAAACATATATTTGTTTAAAAGGAGACGCTACAGTACACTTTATGTTTAATATGGTTCTTCATTACACAGTAGCGTTTTATTTGGTCTTAAAGGTTGGTGTTTAAATGGAATTAAGTAACAAATGTATGGGAAGAAGAAAGTGTAGATTAGTCAGCATAAGCAGTCCTATGTTTTGCTCTGTTTTGCTCGCCAAAATTTATATAGTGTAATTGATGGCTCAAAATGGCAGTGGGGAATGAGTGTGAGATTTTGTGTCAACGACTGGCTATCTATTAAAACAGCATCTCAAGTTTGGAATAAATTAAATAGTTATGAATTTTATCGCTTAAGCGATTTAACACAATCGCTAAAGGATAAACGTATAGATAGTCTGTATCGCTTAAACGATAGTTTATATCGTTTAAGCGAATGGTCATTTAGGAGGTGTTTGTCTAAGCTTATAGCTAGTCAAACTAGCTTATAAGCTCTAAATTAAACTGACATATTGTTTTATAATTTTTTTGAGCTTATAAGTTGAGCTTATCCAAAAAAATAAAGTTGGGCAGAAAATACTTCTTCTTTTTTTTTTTTTTTTTTTTTTTTTGGCTTATAAGCACTCTGCTTATAAGCTAGTTTGACCAAGTATATGACTACATTATCCTTGTTTAATTTTAGAGTTCCATAGTATACTCTTGTTTAATATAATAGTCTTTTTAGTCATTTTATAATAAAATGTACTTATAAATCACATTTTACCAAACATATCAACTACTTAATAAGCGATAGGGTGATCCTTGGTGGTGGCGTAGCTGCTAGATATGCAGCTAGGGAATTTGTTAAGCAAGGTATTAAGCAAGGAGAGTTGGCAATTATCTCAAAAGAAGATGTGGCTCCATATGAACGTCCCACACTTAGCAAGGAATATCTTCTCTCTGAGACACCTGCTAGACTTCCATATTTCCATGTGTCATGTGAGTGTTGGAAGTGGAGGAGAAAGCAATGTTCTGAAAACCAGACCGGGAGTCGACCCAGCCAAATGGCCGGTTCCCAGTTAGAACGGTTTAACCAGTCCAACCGGTCGGTCGGATTGGCATCAGCAGCAAAAACAAAAAAAAGAAAAAAAATTCAGATTCTCCATCTAACTAAAGTTTAAAAACCATCAAACCAACCCTACAATAATAATAAAACCATCAAAGTTTGATAGTTAAAGTTTACAAATTCAATCCTCAAGTTTAACGGCAGCTTGCAGATGGCGGCAGACGGCGACAGATGTGAAGGCTGAAATCTGAGCTAAAGTGACTAATCCGGCAGATCAGCAATGGCAAGCAAGAAGCAGGCTTTTAGATGGCGATGGTGATGATTGAAGAGTTCACGTTGAAGACTGGAAGTTGAAGAATGAAGAGTTGCAAGCAGCAGTCCAGCCACGGCAAGGAAGAAGCACTGAAGCAGAGTAGAGCAGACCGAAGACTTGAAGACTGAAGAGTGAAGATGTGAGGCTGAATCGCTGAAGCTTAGCTGAAAGCTTGAAGGAGATCTGACTTCTGAGATCGCGAATGGAGGACAGGAGGAGGAGGACTAGACTGGAGAGTGGAGATCGCGAATGGCAATAGCAAACCAAGATGAAAAACTTAAAAACTAAAAAAGGGGCAAACGGCTCAGTAGGTCAATAGCTCACAGCTCAAAAGCAAATTGAAATTTGAAAATGTATTAAAAAATAAAAATTTTGGGGGTTTGGTTTGACACTTTGACAGTTTGACTTTGTGTTTGTACGACTGTGGTTTTTACTTTTTAATTTTTTTAATTTTTTATTTTATTTCATGTGATTAAAGTGGATTGGGTGTGGACCATAAATCTTTTTAATACCGGTTGGACCATCGGTTTGCTATAGTGAGACAGTCCAACCACGGTTTGAAGCGGCTTGACTGAAAATCCTGGTTATTTGCTCTCTTCAAACCGGAATTGTAAGCGAAACTCGGTCGGATCGGTTCGACTGCCTAGTCCGGTCCGGGTTTCAGAACATTAGGAGAAAGACAACTTCCTGAGTGGTACACAGACAAAGGAATAAAATTGATCCTTAGCACAGAAATTGTTCGACTAAATCTTTCTTCCAATTCTCTTGTTATTGCATCTGGTGAAGTCTTCAGGTATCAATCACTGATTATTGCAACTGGTTGCCTAGCGATCAGGTTGGCAGAATCAAGTGTGCAAGGAGCTGATGCAAAAAATATCTTCTACTTGAGAGAAATTGATGATGCTGATAAGTTGGTGGAAGCAATTCAGGAAAAGAAAAATGGGAAGGCTGTGATAATTACAAGTAGTTATTGTGGTCTTAAGGTTAGTGAAGCTTTTCAAAAGAACAATTTTGACATCAGCATGGTTTTTTCCTGAAGACTGGTTCATAAGTCAGTGGTTCAATTCTGTAATTGCTGCTTCCTATCATTCTTATTATAAATCAAAAGGAATCAAAATTTTTGAAAGCGCTCATGCAGTTAGGTTTATTGTTGACTCTAGTGGAGAGGTCAAGGAAGTGAAACTAAATGATGGCACCATGCTGGAAGCTAACATTGTGATTGTTGATGTTGGAATTAAAGTTAATACATCATTACTTAAAGGTCAGTTTGAAGAGGAGTTGGGAAGGATAAAGACTGATGCACTTTTCAGGACAAGTGTTCCTGATGTTTATGCTGCGGGAGATGTGAATACTTTCTGTTCAAACTTGTACAATAGGTGTTCTGTCCATGGTAAACTAGTTGAGCATGCCCGCAAATCAACTAAGCATGCTGTGACGGCCATCAAGGCAATTGAGGAAAACAAAACAATTGATGAATATGACTACCTTCCTTACTTTTATTCTCGTTCCTTTGATCTTTCATGGCATTCCTATGGTTTGTTTAGTGACAAGTTGGTGATGTTTGGAGAAATGGATCATGTATCACCCAGCATAATTTTGGAGCATACTGGATCAAAGATGGGCACATTATTGGAACTTTCCTTGAGAATGGGACTCATGAAGAAAACAAGGCCATGGCCAAAGTTGCCAGGTTCTGTGGATTAAAGTGTCAGAATTCAGAAGATAAGGACTTAGTTAAAAACAAAAACAAAAAAAAAACGATGTCGTTTTGTTTCTCTCTTAAAGAGAGCGAATATCTCCATATTTTGCTTTCCCTCTCTCTTTACTCTCTCTTTAGCTACTGTCTTCATTTAAGTAGCAAACCCTTATTGTATGAAGATTCATTCAATCAAATATAGATATTGAAGCTTTAATCCCTTTTAATTTTCTCTCAATTTACGATTTCCACTTGGTATCAGAGCTATCGACTAACATCAATGGCGAATATCTCAAACTCAAATCAGTGTGGCACCAGTCTTGAGAAGATGATTCTCAACTCCTCCAACTCAATCAGCTCGGCATTTCCATCAAGCCTTCAAGTTGTTACTCCGAAGCTGACTAGAGACAACTACCGCGACAATTATCGATTCTGGAAGTCACAAGTTTTGTCAATGGTGGGAGCTCAAGATCTTGAAGATCACCTCACAAGTCCTGTCCCTTGCCCTCAACCTTTAATTACTGCAGATCTTGAATCTTTGAATGAGTTAGGAGAAAGTTAACCCTAACTATATTTCTTGGAAAAGAACTAACAAATTTCTAGTGACTTGGCTGTTAGCGTCGATCTCAGAATGTATGTTTGCTTCTGTGTCGAAATGTCAGTCATCTACATCAATTTGGCTAACCCTAGAAAGTGAGTTCTTAAATGACTCTAAATCCAGAGCACTTCACCTAAAAACCTGACTCCAAAACACTCAAAAAGGAAACCTAAGCATTAGTGATTATGTTAAAAAGATGAAAGGAATAGCCGAAAGTTTATCAGCTAGTGGCCAAGTGATATCTGATGAAGATTTACTCCAGTTTATTTTAGATAGACTAGGTCCTGAGTTTGATGCAGTAATCGTTAATCTTACTTCAAGAATTGAGTCCAAGTTCAACTCAGTAACCTTAAAAGAAGCACAATATTTGCTTCAGAAGTATGAAATGTGAATAGAGAAGTTTAATTCTGTAGATTTTCTCAATAGCTCTGTCAATAGTTCTGTCAATATGGCTACTATAAGTACTCCAGGGTCTCACTAGTCCACACCTATACCAATGATATCTACTGGCACTTTTCCTTTGACACATAATTTTCCCTCTGTCGAAACTACTGCTAGTTCACAAATGTATAACCAATATCCTGCTCATGTCAGCTATTCATTTCTTTATGTAAATACTTTAAGTGATCAGTTTAATGCCTCAGCCAATATTGGGCAGTATGGAGTTCCTGTGCAAAACTATAGACCAACTAGTATTCCTCTTTTTGGTAGAGGCAGGGGAAGGGGAAATCCTAAAGGAAAACCCATTTGTCAAGTTTGTAACAAAATGGGTCACACTGCTGTGCAGTGTTACCATCGATATAATTCCACCTACAATGGAACCCCTCCACATTTTGGGAGTACAAATTATGGCAGTAATCAAGTTGGTGTTGGTTCTTTATCATCAAACCAACAAGTTCATTCCCTTGTCTATGGTCCTAACCTGCCTTACCATGGAAATCAAAACCATGAAAACAATGGTGGTTATCAACAACAGCAGTCTGCTTCACACTTTACCTAACAACAGCCTTCACCATCCATTATCCGCACACCTTCAGCCTTCAACTTACCTAGCCAACAAACACATACCTCATATGACTTACCTGATCAACACACACTCAATCAGCAAACACATTCCTCAGTTCCTAATTAGCAAAAACATTCTTCAGTTCCCAGTCAAGCTTATTTTGCTATTCCCCATTCCCTGCCAAATAACATGTCTCCTACTTTTCCCACTTATATCACATCAACTCCCATCCAAGATCCAGCTTGGTATATGGATTCTGGAGCAACAGATCATGTTACTTTAGACTTGAACCAATTAAGTACAAGTAGGAGCTATGATGGAATAGAACAACTTCAGGTTGGCAGTGGTGAGTTCCTTAACATCTCTCATGTTGGTTTTTCCCTTTTACCTAGTACCATGCAATCTAAATCCTTATATTTGAAAAATGTGTTGTGTGTTCCTCGCATTACAAAAAAAATTTACTTAGCATTTCAAAATTTACCAAGGATAATAATGTTGTGGTTGAATTTTCGACTGAATGTCGTGTGGTTAAGGACAAGGTTACCAATCAAGTGCTGCTGCAGGGAGATCTTAAAGTTGGTTTGTATCAATTGAATTTTCCATCTGCCCTATCTTCATTGTCTCCACTAGTCAATACCTCCTTAACCTGCTCCAAGTCTCCTACTCAAATCACATCTAATAAGTCCACTAATGCAAAGAGCATATTAGATAGTTTAGTTTCTGTTGAAGTTTCTCCTAAAAACAGCACCATCACTAAATTTTCCAACTATGTACAGTCAAAACTTAGTTCTAGTCAGTCCCCTTCTATTACATGTGTTGAGAATAAAGATGAATCTAATGTAGCTGATTTCACATCTAATAATTGTACTTCTTTACTAAATAATAAAAATACAGTTCAATTCAATTCTGTTCCCTTACATTCTACTATCTTGTGTACTGATTCTGATTCTTTGCATTCTTTACATGTTGCTCAACTACATGCTAATAATTTGGATGATATAGCTTCTAATAATTCCAAAACAGATGCACTGCATTCTCAATCACTTGCTGATACTCTGCATTCTCTTAATAATACTGATATTTCATCTGCTGATCTATTGCATGCTAATCATTTGCATCACTCTGATTCAATACATAATAGCTTACAAATAGATACATTACACTTTCAGTTGCATGACTCTAGTTTACCATGTTCAGCTGCCCTAGTATCTGCATCTAGTAAAACCAGTAACACTGCCTCAGTTTGGCATAGAAGAGTTGGTCACCCTCATCCTGAGGTGTTTCGCAAAATCATGGATCAACTTCCCAAATCACCCTCATCCTTTAAGAACTCCAGCATATCATCTACATTGCCTTTTTGTGATGCTTGTCATCTAAGTAAAATGCATAGGAATAATTTTCCTCTCTCTCATTCAAGAGCTACTTCTCCCTTAGAACTTGTTCACAGTAATGTTTAGGGACCAGCCCCTATACTGTCTTTTGAAGGATTCTGATATTATGTTGCATTTATAGATGATTTTAGTAGGTTTACCTGGCTCTTCCCTTTAAGGACTAAAGGTGAAGTTAGGTCTACTTTTATTAGATTTCATCAGTTAGTTGAGAAACAATTCAACACCAAACTTAAGTGTCTACACTCTGATCAAGGAAGAGAATATAAAGGACTTATTTCTTATCTAACCAGTTGTGGAATTCAGTTTAGACACTCTTGTTCCTATGTGTATCAACAAAATGATAGGAGTGAGAGGAAGCATAGACATGTCGTGGAAACTGGACTAACTTTGCTTACACATGCTTCTATGCCTTTGCAATTTTGGTGGAATGCATTTGATACAGCAATATTTTTAATTAACAGAATGCCTTTTTCTGTTCTAAATTTTATTTCTCCCTATCAAATTTTATTTCATAATTCTTCTCTTTATTATACTTTGAATGTTTTTGGTTGCACTTGCTATCCTTATTTAAGAGATTACCATCAGCATAAGTTCAATTTTCATTCAGAGAAATGTGTATTTTTAGGATATAGCTTGGTTCATAAAGGGTACAAATGTTTAAGCTCTAGTGGTAAAGTTTACATTACACCAAATGTTAAGTTCAATGAGTTAGAATTTCCTTTTGCTCATAAGTTTAATCTATCAACCTCCACTTCCAACACTTCAGTAGAGTCTCACACTGTCACACCTATAATTAGCTTTCCTTTTAAGTCTGTTAAAACCCCAAGTTCTTATGATACAACTCCTACTGATGGATCTCTACCTGCAACTGTATCTTGTGGTCCTTTTAATTCTTGCTTAGCAAATGATCAGCATGATGCAACCTCAGTAGTTAAATCCTCTTCTCTCATCTCTGATGCATCTCTTGCCTCAAAATCACCTTTTTAACAACCCTTTACTTGAAACAGATTATTCTCCTTGTTTAAACTCCCAATCTAAGTCATCAAACTCACTTCAAACTTGTCCTTTAGTTGTGGATTTTACTTCATACTCAACCTTACCTACTCACAATTCCACAAGTAATCATTCTCCTTCCCACTGCCATTCTGAAACAGTTACTGATCCATCACAGTCTACTGCTACCCCTCCATTAGTTAGTCACAATATCCATCAAATGACAATAAGAACCAAATCCTAGAGTCTTCCTCCACCAAAAATTGGCTTAATATCTTCCTTTACCTCTATGGTTGTTCCTGAACCATGCTTCGGTAAAGAGGCATTACAAAGTCTTGAATGGCAAGACTTAAGAACAAAACCTAGTCTTTAGTGCCTCCTGCTAGTGATATGAATATTGTAGGCAACAAATGGGTATTTAGAGTTAAGTATAGTCAAGATGGATCTCTACAAAAGTACAAGGCTAGGTTGGTTGCTAAAGGGTTTCAGCAAACTCCAGGGCTTGATTATTTTGAAACATTCAGCCCCATTATCAAATCTTCCACCATTAGGATAGTTGTTACACTAGCTTTCACAAATGGGTGGGATATTCAGCAAATAGACATCAATAATGCTTTTTTGAATGGGACTCTAAATGAAACTGTATTCATGTGACAACCTGAAGGTTTTGAGCATCCTGAGTATCCTGGTTTTGTATGTAAGTTAGAAAAGGCATTGTATGGTCTTAAATAAGCACCTAGGGCTTGGTTTGACAAGTTAAAGCAAGCTTTACTAAGTAAGGTGTTTTTGGAATTTAGTGGTAGATTCTAGCCTGTTTATTTTTCAAGAAGGTGATCAAAAGACATACCTTCTTATCTATGTATATGATATCTTGATAACTGGAGGCAACATAACTTTCATCCACACTTTGATCAAAGATCTTAATGTTCAATTCTCTCTTAAAACACTTGGATCAGTTCACTATTTTCTTGGTATAGAGGCTGTTAAAACTGATTAGGGTATGCATCTCAAACAAACTAA